AGAGAGAGAGAGAGAGAGAGAGAGAGAGAGAGAGAGAGAGAGAGAGACTGAAGCTAACAAGTGTTGTCCAGTATGTGAAAATAAAGGGACTGATGTGCATTGTCGGTAGGAATGTAAATTCATATAAGCCATTATGAAAAGCACTATGAAAATTCCTCAGAATCCAAAAATAGAATTATCAAATGATCCAGCAATCCTATTACTGGGCACATTTATAAAGGAAGTGAAATTAGTATGTTGAAAAATTAATTATCTATACTTCCATGTTTCAGCATTATTCATAATAGCCAATACAATGTAAATAACTTAAGGGTCATTCAACAGAAGAATGGATAAAGAAAATGCATATATGTATGTGTAGATATCTATATCTATATGTATGTATGTGTAGATATACATATAAATCTACACATATATAACTACACAAATATATATATATATATATATATATCTACTATATTTATCTATATATATATCTATATATCTGTATGTCTACACATACACACATATATGTACACATACATACATACATATATGCATGTATACACACAAAATGGAATATTATTCAGCCTTAAAAAGGGAAATTCCTGTAATTTTTGGCAACATGAACGAATACAGAGGATATTTTTGCTAAGTAAAATAATGTAGGCATAGAAAGACAAATACCAAATGATCTCACATATATGTGGTATCTAATACAGTTGAACTCATAGAAGTAGAGAGTAGAATGAGGGTTACCAGAGACTAGGTACAAGGGAATAAGGGAGGGAGTGAGGAGTTGTTGATCAAAGGGTACAAAGTTTAAATAGGAGGAAGAGATTTTGAGATTTATTGCATAGCAGATCCACTGTAGTCAATAATGCACAGTATACTGCAAAACAACTAGGAGTAAATTTTAATTGTTTTAAAATTAAAAAAAAATGATAGGCAAGCAAGGTGATAGATCTATTAAGTAGCTGGATTAAATCATGCACTTTGTATACCTCTGTCAAAACATCATACTGTATCCCATAAATGCATATGATTATAATTTATCAAGAAAACAATACTATTAATAAAAGGAAATTAATATGTGACTGTAAGGAATACCAATGAAGGTGGAGTGAAATGGGCACTCCATGCACACTCTTCTGATGCTTAAACTTATAAATCTCTTGTAAAACAGTTTAATGATGTGCTACAAGTATTTAAATACCCATGCTCTGATCTGTTAATTCCACTTCTAGAAATTAATTTAATAATTAAACTGGAGCTAAAAAAGACTCAAATTGTATTACACAAACTATACCCATAAAGCTATGCTTCCTATTATACCAGTGAAAAATAAGAAGAGTGGTAAGACAGACAAAAAAAATTAAAACTAGGTAGGAGATCTTCAAGGTAATAATCAAGAAAGTGTCTGAATTGTAAAGCAATGTCATATATTGTAGCCCAAGAACAACTACAGGTGATAACAAAGGTAAACTAAGGTAGACACCTGATTGTAAAAATAACCAAATTAATTTGTTTACAAATTAATCATCAAAGTAAGCCAACGTTAAATCTGTACAGTTCCCAGGTTCTCAGTCTTATAGGAAGAACTGTCTCATTTGACACATGGAACATATATTAGGTTACAGAGGTAACAAAGGTTCCTCAACTTAGATCAGGTTAAAGGTCAAAATTGTTCATGAACAAGACAGAATAATATTATAACACACAAACTAGTAAAATGGCATTTTCCATCTATTTAATATAATTTATTTCATATAAAATCTTCCTTAAATTTAACCATATTTTCCACTCTAGAAAAACAGAGACAGAGTATATCCCATCCTGCTAGAGATACTCAGAAAAATGCCACAATAATAATCAAAGAAGTTTAGTACATTTATTTAATTTATAAAAACCATGGAAATTTCACAGTGTCTTTTGTCAAGCGGGAAAATAAATTTTGTTTTAAATTTAATTTTTTAACATCATACAATGTTACTATAAAATAAATGGGAATTATAGAAAGCAATACTCAAATAATACTGACATAATATCAACAAAATCAAGGGAATTATAAGACTAGGCTGGTACACCATTTATGCCAGATCTATCCCAAAATTCAGTCAGATAATCTGAACTTACAACAAAATTTAATTGCGATTCCCCACCTTTTTTTGAAAGTCAGAAGAAGAATAGAAATTTAGTAGATTAGACAAAGGGGAATGAAGAGAATGGAGGGTATAGGAAAGACAGTGGAATGAATTGGACATAACTTTCCTATGTTTATACAATCATTGAAACTCCACATCATGTACAACCACAAGAATAGACTCCTAATTAGAAAAAGTTATACTATATTTATTATATGTGAAAATATACTCTACTGTCATGTGTATCTAAAAAGAACAAATTAAAAAAAGAGAAAGAAAAAGAAGCCCAACTATTAATTTTATTCGAATGTTTTCTTAAGGAATAGGAAGCTCTTCCAATGTTCTAAAATTAGATTGTGATGATGGTTATGTAAATCAAATTTACTGAACTACACTCCTAAATTATATTTTGTAATATGTAAATTGTACCTAAAACAGCTTATTTCAAAGTGCACCCTCTACTGGGCAGCTGGGGCAGGCTGCTAACTTGGAAGTTGTTCTCTGTGGCCTAAGAAAATGAGTATGAGCCTGGGAAGTGAGTCCAGAGCAGCAGTTAAAGATAGCATGGCTTTCAGCCTGACCAGTAATGGGTAAATTGTCTTTTGGTCCCCTTAAAACAAAGGGCAAAAATGAACATATTAATTAGGGAAAATTTTCTTATATATAGAACTGTTTCAGCCAAGCTTATTCCTTAAAACAAAACCCTAAATCCTTAAAAAAACTGTGACTTACTAGATAGAAAGTCTGGTATATACATAAAGCCCATTCAGTGAAAAATGAAATGTAAGACATACTTGGGGTTGCAAAAACAAAACAATGAAACAGTAAACTAAACACATTTCACATAGGGCAAAGAAAACAAAACAAAACAAGTCCTCACTCACAAAGCATATGTGGAAATGTTCCATATTCAATGGGCCACTTTTTGTCACTATTTTGACTATTACTAGCATACCTTACATTAGAATACACTTTAATAAACATAAGCATACACATACTATTTTAGATGGCAACATCTCCTAGAACAGGAGAAAATGCAACAGAACTCATTAGGATAGATTTCTCCTTTCTGATTCTAAGATTGAAATAAATTAAATGTCTTTTACTCCTAGACATTTCCTTCCTAAATCAACAATGATCCTACTTAACAGATAATACCTGTGGAGTTATTGTTTTTAGCAAAAGTTCTACTTTTCCTCTCAAAAACAGTGAAATGGTGAAGACTAACAAGGAACTGAATCCTAATTAAAACCTAAGCCGTATATTCATATTGGAAATATAATTTTTTATTAAAATATTAACTCATTAGCAATTCTCACAATTATATTGAGTTTTTATACCTTTAATGGACACCAAAAGTTCAAAATGTTTTCCCATAGAAAATTCTAAACAACAACAACAATGACAAAAAATAGAATTAGAAAACAAATCTCCACATACCATAATCTATAGATTCAACAATTTTGATAATTTGGCACACTTGCTTTATCTACTTTTCTACATATGTATTTTTTTCTGTGTACTTTCATGTAAACTCCAGCCTCCACGTCTTCTACCCCTATGGACATTAGTGAGCATTTCTAAAAAAATAATAAATTTAGTGACTACCAAATGTTTCTTTAAATAGAAATGTATTTTCAGTCATATCATGAAGATGCATAAATTTAAGATTTACTTAGTATCTACAAAAGATAAACTCTTAAAAATCCTAAATAATTTCTTTCCATTAAAATGTATCTGGCTCATATTTTTCTATTTGAAATTACTATACAAAAGTATAGGTAAAACACTAAAAATTTTAATACTAAAAAGAAAGCAAGTGAAAAATTGTTTTAAGTCATGCTTGCCACTGTATTACATTTATATATTTCTGTTTAATAATATAAACTCATAATTCTCCTGAATATTAAAATCAGAAGCAATCTTCTACCTAGGTGTGCAAATACTGAACCTTAAAAGAGAGTTAGCAAGCTGTGAATACTGTAAAAAATTAAAATTCTGGAGTATAATTTATAGTGTTTAATGAAATTTGTACATATTGGATATACTGGAACATCATTTTAACATGTGATCACTTTCATTGACATAAACTAATCTTATGTCAGTGTATTTTTTAAGTCACTGTAATTTTATGTCACTGTAAAATTTAAATTACATTAATAGCACTAATAATACAGCCATTATATTTTCACATAAGATAAAAGGAATTTAAAATTTAGATGAGCATTGATAGAAATGCCAAATTATCATACCAAAATATCAAAACACTAAATTAGTATTTTAGCTCCTGATCATATTTTGACTTTTATTCATATATTTTGTACACATTTTCCATGTGTATTTTGGGGATTATTGAGGATTAAAATATATGTTTGAATATAATATCTGATCTTTTAATCTTTCTATGCATCAAGTATTAAATCCATACCTTCAAAGTAGCCATCTCTTTTGGACGGTGTCTGCTTTGGTGATTTTATAACAGAAACTTTATTTTCATTGTTTTTGAATAATGCTAGGCGCACACTGGGATCTAGACAAAAAGAACAAGAGAGAAGATCAGCTCTGGATCATTCTTTCTCTAAAAGGACCACATATTTTTTTATGATGGTATTAAAATATTATCCCCTCTATAGGAGTCTATGATATTGATGATCTTATTTCCCAATTTATAATATGAAAAGGTAGCCAACCAATATTCTTGGTTGTCTGAATATACACACAGCCAATACTTAGTATAAAGGACAGTAACACTAATAATGTGAAAAAAGTTGCTTGTAGACTTCCCAGTCATGGCATCATATACTTTACTATTTACTAATTTACCTCCTTTTTAAAATCCCTAATATTTCTTCTAGATAAAGCAAAATTTCTATAGATGTATAACTAGGCAATAAAGTTCTCATTATAGAAAAAATACATGTGTTCAACTTTTCCCCCTCTAAATTACAGAGCTAGGATATGGGAACATGAAAGCAGGCAGCTATTAGATTGAGGGCCAAAGAAAAAATTATTAATTATTTCATTAATTTTATACATACAATTTTGGTGTTTTTTTCCCAAATATATTGTATTTACCTACCAAAGACGTACAAATACTCTAAAGGTTTTAAAGTCTAAAATATCCTAAATGTATTATTTTACAAAACAAAAAGTGTGATTTAAATGTAGGGCATGTAACTTTTTATTTGTAATAAATACTATACATATTCTCTGGAATATGAAAAATGAGAATTCAGTACTTCTGTATTATGAGTTTTTGCTTAAGAACTCTAAGAAGACAGTGATGCAAGTACTAGGGAATGAAATCCAGGCTGGAAAGTTATGCATTTAGTAGGGTAGGAAAAACCACAATTTGGAGTAGCACACATTTTCATAGTATTCTGTATCATCTGGCTGGAAGAGAGTTTAAGAATATTTGATTAATATCTAGTATAATAGAACTCAACATGCTAAGTGGGAAAACAAGATATTAAATGTCATGAATATTAAACAGTATATTTTAATTAAATGATAAAGTAGCATATTTCTTAGAATGTGCATTTTTCTAAGCAGAATAAATAGCATTTGTAGAGTTATTCTCCAATATAAGCAACCTGATGATTTTCATTTTTTTTAGTAATAATTTATCCTTAGTAATTTTGATTAACACACTACACCAAGATTATACTTCTTTAACATTAGAAAAATCTCAATGTTTGGGTACTTCCCTAAGTGTAGGCAACCTAAAGTGTTTTAATAATTGGATATTTCTACATTAATTCATTTTGAATTATCAATATGAATAATAAAATTATGTATATTTCATTGAATAAGTTTTATGTGTCACCTAAATCATTAAAAAATATTGATATATCAAAAGAAGCATTACTCAATCAGGGAAGACAGATTTCTATGGGTTCACAAACTGTGTGGTACCTCACAACTTCTTTTGATAACTTATAACCATCTTTCTATTCTCCTGCTCTTCTTGCCTCTTGGCAATGACTGGCAATTCAACATTATTAGTTCAGATTCTAGTTTCAATTTTTACCAGTTGTATCACTCTAAAAACAATTGCTCTCATTTTATGACTTCTCTGTCCATCAGAAATAATACTGACTTTCAAGAACTACTGTGAGAATTTAATGTAATAATGTGTGTAAAGCATCAAATCTAATACCCACATAAGTGTGGACACTCAATAAATGACAATTAGCAGATAGATATATATTACAACATAAACAACTATAATATTTCCAACCTATTGTACTCTTGGAAAAGACCATAAATCTTTCATAGTATAAGAAATAGATGAATCCATAATATCTTCCTTTTATGAAATATAGCACACAAAACAAAAGCTATGGATCTTTTATTAATTCTTTGGTACTTCCTTGGGCAAGCAACAATCTATCTATGAATTTTTTTTTTTTTTGTATGGGGAATTGAACTCAGGGGCACTAAACCATTGAGCCACATTCCCAGCCCTACTTTGTATTTTATTTAGAGACTGGGTCTCACTGAGTTGCTTAGCATCTTGCTGTTGCTGAAGCTGGCTTTGAACTCCAGATCCTCCTGTCTCAGTGTCCCAATCTGATGAGATTATAGGCATGAGCCACTGTGCCCAATTTATGAGGTTATTTTTTAAATATGTAAAATAGGGATAACAATAGCACTTCCTTATACTATTATCAAGATCAAATAATTTAATACCTGTCAAATAACCAAAATAATCAGCTCAATTTATTCAATAAAATAGTTTTATTCCCCAAGTATAAATGTCCTTTCATTTAAAAACATTCTGCTTGCATCAGCAAAAATTGATTTAAAACTTAATTCAGATTGCAAAGGGATAATGATAAGAAGCAAGACACACTTTGGTAATTTAAGATAGAGGGAAAAAATCACTTGATTTTGATAGTTCCTGGAAATACCACCTTGGTTAAGACACTATTCTTACTCCCCCACAACCCTAAATACAGTCTAGTAGAAAGTCAGGGGATAAGGATGTGTAAAGTACAAATTGTGACACAGTTCTCATGACTGTAAAATTAGTTTTGCGCATTAATTCCACTCCTCTGTGATCATCAATACCAGGTCTGTTACTTTTTTATTTTTATTTTTTCAGAAAATTTTGAGTCTCCCAAATATGGCTTGCTTATGACAGGAAATAAAAATATTTTTAAAAAGCTCTATGTAAGTAAGCTGAGTTCCTACTAATGAACAAGGCTTTATACTTTGATGCTCTATATCACTTATCTCATTTAAGTAATATAATTTTAGTTAGACAATAGAAGTATACACAACAATATTTCTTTTTGAATCCTCTCACTTAAAACTATCATTTTGCAAACAAATTGCTTTCCTACAGTCCTTGAACTACTCAGTGCACATTAAAAAACGAAATTACCCTTTCTTAATTTCCACCTGGTTAATTCTTGGTTGAGATTAAATGTTAACCTTTTTCTTCATCTTATTCTTTCTTTTCTCTAGGAAATTTTGATATGCATCAAAATGATAAATCTAGAAAAACCATATTATTTGTGCATCCTATGTTCTTAGCCCTTAAACATTTTACCAGCTGTTCTGCACCAAAAGCCATATACTCAGAACATTCTAAGAAACACTTCACATCAAAACCAGTCACCACGCCCCTTCCCCAGCTAGCGAATCTCAGACTTGCTACCAATTATGCTTGCTACCCTAAGGTTATTGACCCTGCATGTTTTCAATAAACCTGTAACTCGCCTTACATTTGATATTCTTCACTGCAGCACTGAATTCTAAACTATCCTCAGTTTCTGCTAAATTCCAATGCAGATCACCAAATTTTGTAAATACTAACCAGGGAACAGTAAAGCATAAACAAACAACCCACAAAAACAATACTGGTCATTATTGGTTGAAGCTGATATCACTCATGAGGGGAAAAGCAATTATTTATTTACTGAGAAAAACAACTATAACCCAAACATAAACTGGGTAGATCATGATAGCTCTTCACAATTTTAGATTTCATCCCATACCTTCTAATCAATTCCTGTTCCTTGTCCTACACTCTGCCTCCTTCTCTTTAAAGCAGATGGCTTCACTTAAAGCAACAGAAGTCATCAATAATGAATCTCCCCCAACAGCTGTCCACACTACATTTCCTCAGTTCCTTACATCTTTATTAAACATCTTCCTTCAGTTTCTTCCTCTATCTGCAACTGATTCCATTACACCTCACTTTTTAAAAATTTAAGTCACCTTATGCCTTTTGTCCTATTTTCACTCTCATCTTCAAATATTATTGACTTCTATTCCTTGACTAATAAAAATGTAAAGATATGAACAAGAAATATTGTTAAGTGCTTACTACTAAATTGCTCTCAGTTTTTCATGGCAGAAATTTGAATTAAAGTTTCCATACTCATGTTTACACCCCATGTCCTTGAGGACCACTGCCTTTGTTTAATTGTAGGATATCATTTATTGCACTAATTAGTAGTTCCTATTCTCTGACACCTCTCCCACCACTCTACCAACCCCCATAGATCTGCCTATGCTCCCGGCACCGGCAGTTTTATGGACAATGTTGCCCTCTGGTGGCTTGAAGTTACAAATTGATAAACTGTTAACATAAAACACACACACACACACACACACACAAACACACACACACACCATCTCCATGTATATTTAAAGATTACTAGTATATTTAAAGTATTTCACAGGAGTTAACTATTTAGCAGGATTTCAATATTTAAAACATTGATTTAGATCATAAGTAAGTAAAGTTTTAAAATTATGGCTATTATTTGGATAGATTCCAGTAAATTAATGGCATAGCACACATTGACTGATTTATAAAACTGAGAAAGGTAATAGAAAAATATCTATTCTCTAGGAAGAAAACCTAAGGTAGAGACTTAAATAATTTATTCAAAACTAAAAGAAGTGACATGAGTACTATATGATTAACATAACAGAAGATAAATAAGATGTGATCCTTAGAAAGGATTGCCTTGATTTTTTTTTCGTTCCCTTTAATCCTCCCTTAATATTTTTAATTTGTGTATCTGCTGTGAAGGAGAAACAGAGGAATATAGGATAATATAAAGCTCATATGTAGAATAATAATATGGGATAATACATAGGTTATATGTAGGCATTCGAATTTCTAAGAAATGTTGCTTTTGTTTTCTTAATCTAATATTTTAATGAAACAAAAGAAGAAATGTTCAAAATTCAAAATCTCACATAATAACATAGATGTAGTTTGAATCTTGTAAAAAGAGTAATAATCCCCATAAAAATGATACAATTGCCACTCAGAATTTTTAATCTAACAGAGCATGCTTTGTGAGCACTGACAAAATGTTAAGATGTAGTTACTAAACTGGATGGTTGGCTGTGCTTTTTTATTTGTTACCCTACCATGCCCCCTTGTGACTGATAAAAAGCAGCTTTATTTTTTGACCTAATTATATTGAATTGTGGCCATTAAAGCAATAATATTTATGTGTGAGCATATATTGCTTATTGAATCCTTTGCTAATACATATTTCTCATGGTGATTTAAGAAAAAGGACCCAACCAAAACAAAATAGCCCCTCAATTACAAGAATCAGTAAGAAAGAAATATTTTTCAAGACAGAATCATATGGCAAATCTGATAAGGTAAACTTTTCCTTAGCTTTGAATGCAGAAGCTACTGAAAAAAAAAAAAAAAAAAAAAAAAAAAACTAAAAATATCTTTTAAGAATAGTTCTAGAAAAATTTCTGGAACATAAATAGGTAAAATTTATTTGTTGAAAATTGGTTGAATCAGTTCTTAAACCTTTTTCACAGCTGATCTTGCCCCAGGAGTTTCAGAAAAAAATTTAATTCTCAAAACAGTTGTTTTTCTCATAGTCTTGAAGATGGATAGAAATAGACATCAGAGCAATAAAAGAATTTATCAAACTACACTGATTTATTTTACTGGATACCACATCCCCAGAACTGAAAAGAGTGTCTGACTGTTGCCTGGGTTTTGGTTACTGTTTCACCAGGTAACCACCACAGAGTTTTCTGCTCACAGAGACTTCATAAACTTAGTAGGAGTTTACTAGATGAGAATGCAGGTCACAGACAATTTGGAAATCACAATATTTATTTATATTTTCTTTAAAAATGCTTAAAATCCCAATATTTAAAACCCAACAAAATTTTAATACACACAAAATTATAATTATCTCAAAAAGGTAACATAAAATTATCATTAATGTAAAACCAACAAAGGAAACTTGTACAATTCTGAAAATGAATCCTCTGTAACTTCTCAATAGCTGATTAGTGATGTGCCAACAAATCAGTTATTCCGTGGAAAACAACAGTATTTTGATTATTTTATTTCTATTTTTTTAAACATTAAAACACACACATTATTCAGAATTCTACTGAATTAGTAATTTAAAATAATACATAGAAAAACAATAAAGATAAAGAGTTTTTGAGCACTCACTTCTATGTTTACATATAAGAGAATTATAGGAGAACATAAATTTATTTTCTGATGAACAAAAACTCAGTTTTTTAAAAATGATACTTATAACAAGCCTATTAGTGCATCAGTTCATAAAGTTACAAATAAATGCAGTTATCTGCTGTATGTAAATAATTTTAAATAGTGCTAAATAAAGAAATAAAATCATAACTTGCTATTTCTTGCTCTGACATCTGTAAGCTCTTCCACATATTAATTAACTATACTAAAATCATTAGTGTTATCTAAAGACATGATTTGAAGAGTAGCCTGGCAAGTAGGATAGAAGATGCCTTTGAACACTTCCCAAATTCTTCAAAAACTACTGTCCCAAACACATAAATTGTGTTTCTTTTTCAATGTATCAAGTTGAAAAATCTTCATAGCTTATTAAATCCTTGAAACTGATGAATTTATACTGTTTACTGAATAATCAAGCAATATAAGAACACACAAAGGAATATGAAGCTGATGCTCTTTAGAATCAACATTCCCCCAAAGGAACCACTTTAGAAGCAAATTATAATATAATACTCAGTACACAACAGATAGAATAATAAATAGCAAAGTAGATAAGAAACAGGGTAAAAGTATTTTAAAAGTACAATAAATCCTTCAATGTAATAGCATAGTAATTTTCTCTAATTTTTTAAAATTTATTTTTGGTGTGATTATTTTAGACATTCATTTGTGCATTCATTTATTTCATATTAAAATAGTGTATAAAATGTATTTTTAAAGAATTTATCTTAATATCACAAATAGTTACTATTCAAAGAATATTAATTACTTACCTAATTTTTTCTTTAATTTCTTCGATTTCATTTTCTGTGCCCTCTTCAGCATTTGTTGAGCAGTAGAAATATCCTTAAATCCCCTGTTAAAAAATAAATTTCATGAAGGCAAAAAATATCCAGGCCTTGTATATACACATAAAGATAAGTACACACATCTGAATTACATCATCCTAAAATAAATTTGTATTCCCATTTAATCAGATGCTTAGTTTCTTGAAAATTAATAAAGACATTCTCAAATCCTGAAAATTATCTGTCTTGGACATTTATTAATCTCTCAATTTCTTAAGTTTTAAGTGTAAAACAGACTACATACCATTCTTCTGAAATTTTTTCTTCTTTTTCAGATCTTAGTAAACTCTTTCTACTAGTCTTAGATTCAGATGTCCAGGATAAAGTTCCATTTTCTGATCTGGCAATAGAAATAAATGACTTTTAACTGAATCAACACAAATATCAGCACCGTCTAAAAGTACAAGCTGTTTATGTTGTCTCAAAGTTGGAAATAAAATCCATTTACAGAAAAACTTTATCTTGAAAAGTAATAAAAGTCTGCCATTAATTTTAAATGTTTACATTTCAATTACTTGAAGCATATTTCAATCCTATTGCTGAAAGTAATGCAGCACTGGGACTTTTATTCTAATTCTTATCTCCACCTATAAAGCAGTAAAGATCCACTTGTTTGCAATAATTAATTACATTATTTCACCAACACATAAGTTTTGTAGTTGCTTTAATGCACCTACCTCACATTTTTTCTTACACTGAAAACTCAAAAAAATGATATTTTTAATATTGATTGTTGTTCCATCTTTTAAACAAGTAAATTCACATCTATTTTTGTAATGCTGCTTAAGGAATATAATGTTTTGTCTTTTATAGGTTGATTTCCTAAGAGAATAATTTAGCTTACCTGCCATTTAAGTGTGTGTGTTCTGATGAAAAACAATTTTCTTTGTCATTACATAGCCATGCTTGAGCTGGATGACTTGGTAAATTAAGTGAGGCATCATCATATTTCAAAGTTCCAGAGATCTTATCAGACAAAAATGTAAATAAGTGTAAAGAAAATTGGAAAATTCTATCATTTATAAAGTATTGCTTTCTATTCATGTTACCAAGTAGTTTCATGAGGGAAACTCACAAAAATATTAAAAACTTTTTAAAATGAAATTTCTGGAGAATTCATACATGACTTGTTATAATGATGTAGAACACGTATTTTGGTATAGTTCACATATGTAAAATGATTAATAGCAAAGATCTTTAAAAAATCTCAGAAAACAAAAACTTCAAAGATTATCAAATAAATAACAGATATTGCAGTCCATTGACCTCTGACTGAGAATCTTCAGCTGCTGCCCTTTTAATGCATATTTTTGTATTTTTAAAGTGCTGTCAACTAGTGATTTTAGTCTACTGCCAAATATGCAGCTGAAGCATATCATTATTATTATTTTTTTTGCTACTGTGAAATAAAGTGTTGAAAGAAATCCAAAATAAAGAAAAAAAATAGGAGTAAATGAAAGAAAAGCTACATGAAAAATTACATCTGGGGATGAGGAGGAAGTCAAAGGCTTCTAAAAGTAATTATGTTTTTCAAGTCAATAAATTGTATTATTAATCACTGCAGCATAGCATAACCTTAAGAAATGAACAAAGATCGAGAACTCAGAAGTTTCCATGACATGTTACCTTTGGCCAGTGCAGCTGGTTTGAGAGAAGCAGTGTTTGTGAAGGGAAGCGGGTGGAATCTAAATCTAGCCATTCTTTCTCTAAGGCAGCCTGCACAAATAGTAACATTAAAATATACAAAATTTAGTTTGCACAGCTTTCACTAAGTTTCCTTTAAATTGTCTTATATACTACAAATGTTGCCAAAACATATCAGAATTTTTATTTACAGGGAATTTGCTCTTTGCTATTGTGAGAGGATATGCAACTATATAATGCAAACATACTAAGAAATGGGATAAGTCTTTTCATCTCCAGGTTTCCTATAAAGTGAAAACTTGATATTTAAGTACTCTTAAAATGAGGTACAGATTGTTCTGGGTATTTAACTGTTTAAAACTATGACTTTGAGCCAAATCTAGACCTACCCAAGTAAAATAATAGTTTAGCTCTTTGCAAATTAAAGTACCTTCTAGCAAACATGATTGAAAACATTACAATAAACATATATAATTAAAAATTATAATTTTTTAAACCAGAGTATATAAGCCAGGTTTTTCTTAGTTTGTTACAAATTTCACAAATTTTCTGATAGAAACCAGAATTTTAGTCAATGAATAAAACATCACAATGAATATGGTTCCTGTTATTATTAAGCTTTAATCCAACTGTTTGAATAAAAATATAAATTCAAATTTAATTCTTGAAATTCCTATTTTAAATCTCCCCTCTCTTCGGCTTGAAACATCTTTGTTCCATTCACATAATTTCCAAATTCTATCTATAATGAACTTGTGCTGATTATATTATCATTGTATATTTAAAATATAATTATCCAAATTTTATTTAATTGGATTATCTCACATAGTTTAGAAAAGACTTCTGTGGTTCTATAATATTTTTTGGATTGTTTTGGGGAAAAAAACCAAGAGCATCAGAGGAATACCGATTAATTTTTTAAAAGGCTGTAAACTGAACAAAAACAATTTTTACTTAAAACTAGAATGATTATATTCTGAGGAGATTTAAATACACTTTTCATTTATACAATTCCAGTACTTCTTGACTGCCATATGAAAGACTATAGGAAAGGCAGGACAAAGGCATACTGACAAAAGGTTGGCAGTGCCCTTGACAAATTTTCACTGTGGCTTTCAGTCTTAGGAAATCTTCTACTATTTGAAGAGTGTATAAACATGGCACATCTATTCAGTAGTTAAGTACTTTGCAAGATTTATTCCAGATAAGGATTATTAGTATGCGTATTTACAGTTATCTATTATTTAAGAACACATATCTGGTTTATGAATTGCTATTTTCAGTTTGGTAAGAGTAATGAGTTCAAGAGATATACTGTATAACATGGTGACTAAAGTTAATAACAGTTCATTGCCTTCTTGAAAATCAGTAAGTAATGTTCAGCATTCTCACCAACAACAGTGATAAATATATGTATTAATCCATACAATAAGTTTGATTTAGCCTTTCCACAATGCATACATATTTCAAAACATCATTGTGTTACACAATCAATAATTTTTGTTAATTAAAAATTCAAATTTTAGTTTTCCCAAATAAAGAGCACAGAGCATGTGCAAGAGAGAGAAGTCATTTTCTCATCAGAAGCATTAGTGTTCCTCCTTCTCATCTTCACAGAGAGAAAAGGTTTGAAAATGGCAGTCCAGAAACAATGACTATAGTTCAGAGGGGCACCACAATAAAAGGAATCAAGAGACTGTGTCAGTTTTTAAATGAAAGAGTTGACATGAAGGGGACTTGCTTTGATATGTCTGGGGAACTTAAGAAAATAAACTATTGCAATTTACTTGCAATATATTTAAGCTGCTAATGTTAACTACGTGTTAAATCATGCCAGGAATTCAGTAAACTCCTACTGACTTATACAATCAAAATGCTTATGATGGATGATAAATAAATTTGATGACTGAACCATTTAAAAATTGCTATTTGATGCAAAATAGCAAATGGGATTTAGGACTTAGATTTTTAATTATTCTTGATGACAAACAGATGAAAATCTAGATCTCTTTGAGGGAAGATCAAGGGCTACTACACATCAGCTGATGAAAAATTGCTAAAATGAGGAGAGATATGAAGGAAACAATATTACAAAAGGCAATATGACAACTGACAAGTGTCTGTGGCAAAGGAATAGTGTTATCAGGGATGGAGGCTGAGTTTTATGATTTTTTTTATGGACATTTTTTTTTTCTTAAACACCTGCCAACCCAACTCCTTTTTTAATGTTCTTTGGAAATTCAGCTGTTTTCTCTCTGCAGCAGAACAAGGTCTCTCATAGCACAGTGACCTCTTTGCCTTATTATATAGATATTGAAAGAGTACTCTTACTTGAAAAACTTATATAAATAAGTCTGGGAAAAAGTTTGCTTTTTAAAAATTGATAATTAAAAATACAGAAAACTTTGCAAAACACCTTTTCTTAGTTTGAATGTAAGATCACAAACTTTTATAGGATTTCAGGATAATTCTTTCCTCAAGAAATTTCTAGAAGCTCACAGAGGAGGTTAATACAAAATGCTAAAGATGCGTGTAATTTTACCATTATACAATCACAACCAAAATAACTACCAACCAGAATTTATTATACAACAAAATTTATTAACCAACCAAAATTATTATCAAGTATATTTAGCATTACCTAGTACATTGAGGAAAATAAAATTTCAAAGTGCCAGGAAGAATTGGCCAAGAGTTATATATATAGCACTGTCTTTTAAAATGCATCTTAAAATGTCATGCTTACAACTGCACATTTATACTATTTTTGGCTATTTCTAAGAAAACTTTATGTTCAGATATCCTTTGACTTACAACTAAGGGTTTATAAAGCATTCTTATTACTATAGGACTATTGTCATATTTACTTACATATTGAAAGTGAATTTGAACTTGAATATATTTGTATCCGAATATTCACAGTTAAACATTTGATCCAACATACACATATTTGGCTTTTGTCCATAGAAGAAAACATTATCCTATAATTCAATTTTGATAGCATGGAAAATAAAGCTATCAGGAAGAGAAGGTGCAAATAACACAGATGTTGTAATGTGTGTGTGTGCAAAATTTTTCATTCTATTTATAAAATCCTTTAATTTGACTCATGAAATGAGGACAAGACTTACTCCAAGCCTCAAGTCAGTGAATGTTGAATGGTCATAGAGATTCTAACAATAATAGTTTGACCTCTTTCTTACTACATGACTCACTTCTACCAGTATGGCTCAACAATTTCCCTTTCTGTCCAAGGTGATGCTTAAACTACACCAAAAAGAATTACTTTGAATTTTTTTCTTCATATCTTTTATAGCATCTCACAATCATTGAGGTTCATAAAGCTGGCCCAATATGAACCCCAAGTTCTGCTTTCTAAACTACTTCTTCACTTCTCCTACTTTAAAAGAATAGGTGTTTATATCATTAAATATGACTGTTGTATGGCAAACATGTCTCTTTCCACTACACTTATATCACTTGTCTTTACTCTTTTTCTTTCCCACTTCTGTTAACAATGACTATAGTTCAGAGGGGCACCATAATAAAAGGAATCAAGAGACTATTTTCCTCCAGTGTATCATAACATATAACACCCTACGAGGTTAATTTGAGACAAGGATAAAATATAAACTCCAGATCAGTGAATTGCCCAGCTTCTCACATTTTGCCTCCTTCTTAAAATTATTCCTGAACATACTAAATTTGACTTAAGACTGAGACAAAACCCAATTCTGATTATCGTGGTTTTCCGATTTTATGGTATGACATTAGCTTTTCTCATATTCTTTGGGTTTAAGGATTCATACATTATCAGTCATTTAAATTTAAAGACAATTAAAAAAAACTAGGAATGAAATTACCATATGACCCAGCTATCCCACTTCTCGATATTTATGCAAAAGAACTTAAATGAGCATATTACAGTGATACAGTCACATCAATATTTGAAGCAACACAACTCAAAATTGCCAAGTGTGGAACAAGCACAAATGGTCATCAAAAGATAAATGGAGAAATAAAATGTGGCATATATAAACAATGGAGTTTTATTCAGGCATAAAGAAGAATAAAATTATAGCAATTGCAAATAAATGAATGAAACCAGAGAACATGGTGCTAAGTGAAATAAGCCAGACCCAGAAAATCAAGGATTAAATGTTTTCTCTCGTATGTGGAAGCTAGAGCAAAATAAGGGGGAAAAGGAGTGGGTAGGGTGGCTGTGTAGAATTCCTTGAAAATAGAAGAGATATTAGTGGAGTAGAGGGGAGGGAGGAGGGATGGGGAATTTGAGGGACACTGAAATGAAATTGAACAAACTATCCTATGAACATATATAAATATACCACAGTGAATTCTACTTTCATAGAGATTATGTATATCTATAAAACACTAATTAAAAAATTAAAACTTAACAGAAGAAAGATTATTGGAGTAGTAGAAAAGGTACAGGGAGAGAGAGGAGTGGAGGGAACTAATTATCTTCCATGCTTGTATGTCACAATAAACCCCAATGTTATGTATAACTATAATGTACTAATAAAAAGTTATATATATATAATTTTAAAGACAATTGCATTGGTTCTTTATATGTTGACTTTTAAATAGCATGAGTAAAAATGAAAATAAAAGCTCTTAAGTTAACAAATGAAAACATCAGCTAAAGTTTATTTCAAATTAAAAAGGTTAAAAAAAATGAAAGGGCCAATGTAGACCACTATATCAGACTACTAAAATAGGCTATTTTAGTGTTTCATATCTATTATATTCTAGAAAAAGTTGCAAAACTTTTTCCCAAAGGAAATAAGAGATCTCATCTTACTAAAATTGCTAAACTTATTTTTCAACTTGGGCTCAAGGCTCTGGATAATATCTTATCCATCATTATTTGAGAGGTTCATTATGAATATTATAGATAGAAGATACTTAATGGAAGGAGACAATTCTACGGGGGTCTCCTACATCTGCATGTCCTGTGACAGCTTTTTTCTAGACTATCTTTTCAAGGATGTTTGCATAGCTGACAGCCTGGGAAGACAGAAAAACATTTCTCTCCATCACTGTCCTACCAA